CCAAGCACGTATTGTTTTTCATTGGATCGCAATTAATTATGACCATAGTGTAGGAATTGATAAGATGACGTTTATTATCGTAATAGCGCATAATAGCTTCCCAAGCTGCAGTGTAATTATCTCCCGACAAGGGTATATTCTTAATCAAGTCAGAAGCTTCTCCTTTCAAATGAGTACGGAGATGCTGATATTTTAGAATGGGAAGAATATTCGTTTTTTTATGCACTAAAGCTTGGTATACATCGCGAAAATTTTCCCATTCTTCGAACTCCTCAGAAAATGAAGGAAGATCAATAGCAGGGAGATACGATACTTGCGAGCCAGTAGGGGGGGATTTTGAGTTGGACCGCCATCCTCAGAGAGAGTTAATGTATAGTCTTCAAAATTACCCAAAGCACCGTAATAAAGATCCTCAATGATGTCGAATTGCTTCTTTTTAAAGTAATTATGATCAACTAGCAAGGGGTCTAACGCCTTGATTTTCGAATGAATACCGAGGCTCTGATTGTTATAATCGGAAAGTTGTCAAAGTCTCGAATTAGCTTGACCCCTGGTCATCTTAGCTTGGCCTTGTTTTTAAAGTTAATAAAGGCATTTTTAATTTTTTCCGACAAAATAACTTGTTCAGAATGCAAGATTTCCATTTTGTTACAATCAAGTATTAAATGTAAAATAAATTCTCTGTTCACAACAAAGATTAGGGCTGTATACCGTAGCTGAGCTCAAGTCAATCAAAGAATTAACGTAATACTATCGCTGCAATAAATGACTACGCCGCATATTCTTAAGGTAAAACGTAAGTAAAACGTACAGAGACTTTTAGTTACACAATAATTACGACATTATTGAATCTCAAATATCATATAAGGTCTAGCTATGTGGCGTAAGTGTCCCGGGTTTCAGTATGCTAAACCAATACCAGATTTCGCAGTAGAGGAAGCGGCCCGCAGAACGAGCTCACAACAGCGGCGCCGATGACAATGGCCTGTAGAAGCAGGCAGCAGAAGCACGCAGCAAAGGAGGCGGCCCGCAGAGCGAGCACACAGCAGCAGCACCGACGACAAGGCCTGCAGAAGCAGGCAGCAGCAGCACGCAGCAGAAGGAGCGGCTCGTAGAGCGAGCTCGAAAGAACCAAATGGCAGAATACTGCCTCGTGTTCTTTGGAACAAGAACAAAATGCCCACAAAGAAAGCACACAGCAAAGGAAACGGCCCAGAGAGCGAGCACACAACAGCATGGTAATCGGTTAAGTAATCAACTTTAATTCAAAAAAAGAAAATTAAAAAAGGTGCTTTAATTTCCAACATCCTCTTTGCAATCTTTATTCCGGTGATTGCAGCTGTCCCATCAAAAGCATAGCTTTAACCAATCCTTCTTGTTGCAGTTCTGGGCTATGTGTCCATACTCCAGACACCGGTAGCATCTGAAGACTTTAACCTGTTTCCTCACTTGGTAGCTTGTAAAGTCTATGAACAGCCTCTTTGTTTCTTCTATAAATCTGGCATCAGTCTCTCCAGTATTAACCAAAGCTACTTTCTGCCCTTTTTTTATTTGCTCATAGCAGTGTTACTGTTCTCATCTGTGGCAAGCAACCAGGGATTCTACTTAATGCGAGTTTGACCTTTAATGTGCGACACTTTTTTTGTGACTTGTTTCCGTGGTGTTACGCCAGCTTTAACGACCAAGCAGCTTAAAGTCAATTTTGCGAGAAATTTTTGCAAATTTCTAGTTTCTCTTGAATTATGGCAAACATACCTGATACTTTGTGGAAAGTACAACAAACAAAGTTAATTCAGAAAGTAAGTAACTTTAATAATGTCATTAAATATGTACTACTTTTTTAGTACGTTTTAGGTATAACAATGTTATTTTTTATATTTATGGCTTATTCACCACATTTTTTTTCATAACTGAACTAGCAAGGACAACTTCATGGCATGGATAATTTTTAGATTAATTTAAGATCATTCACATTCAGTAAATCCTACACGAAAAATGCACTACTCAGAAGAGTTTTTTTCCTAGCAGCCCTTGGGCAACAATAAAATTGGTCAAATAAATTCAGATATATTACAGAACGTCTTTTCAACATACACTAGAGTTTAATACACTAGCATCTACGGTTCATTGCTATGCACTCCAACCCTCTAAACACTTTCAGCATTATTTCAGAATTTAATTACTGATGCCTCGATGCCTTGTTGATGCTAGGGCATGGTAGCCTTTGTGCGCAGTGGAAGCTGTAAAATTGTAAGTGCTGCGACGAGGTCCCCATCTCACGTTGATCTCGTTACAGAGCGTAAATGGAGTTACTCGTGCAGCAATTATATTGAGCCGTAAATCATAAATTTTCACAGGGCTAGTTTCCAGAGCCCGTCGACCTTGATTAAATAAACAACAATGCAATTGAATTTGCATTGAACAATAAAGATTTATTCAAAGAGTCAACAAAAACTAAATATTTACAAGGGTAGTTCAAGGTTATCACTTGCGAAGAAATGCGCGGAGCGATGACAATGTATAATTTTTTTTACTGTGGGCGCTAAGTGCGTAGAGCCTCTGAACTATCGACAAAAAAACTTTGTTCACAACTCAGAAATAAACAGAATAAACCCGCACTTCACAATATTCATACTTTGCGAACTAGGTATGAACATTACTATACTTAAAAATGCGAAGGTCGTTTTAACTTTACAATGCAGCACTGTCAGATTCTTTCAGTCTTTGGTAGTAACATTGATAAAAAGTGTCAGCGTCTTATAACTGCATGGCACAGAGTAAGAATAAAATATGCAAAATAATGTTATTTTAACCAGATACACTAATCCAGGGATAGCCTAAAATTAACAAAAAAATTGGAAATTGTCTATATAAAATACTCATAACCACGTTTGAAAATTTATAGCAGTGTTGCTTAATAGATAAATACACTGAAAAATTGTTTCTCCAATTTTTTGAGCTTATATTAAGAAGCAACGGGGTCAAAAGCTTTGTTTCTGTAATCATGTGGTCAAAAAATTTAAGCAGAGTTAGGACTGACGTTAAACAATTCTACATGATAAAATATTGGATATCGTAAGTATAACCTTTAAGATTAACAGGAATTTCTTAGGTTGGGTTAGGGACACAAAGTAACAGGCTTGAGCTAAACGATTGTGAGACTAAGATGCTGCAGAATCGATCTTAATTTTTTCAGTTATTTTGCTGAGGCATTTTAAGTTTAATGAATTAGCTAAGGTTGCTCAAAAGCTCAAAACAGGAGCATCTGTATGTTTTTTTTTTTTTTTTAGTTTTTTTTTAGATTTTTTTTAATTAATAGGTATAGAGTTCGACAATTTACATCAAACACGCTACTAGGCTCATATAATTAATTTAATAAGAAACTACGGAATTTTTGGTTAGTTTGACTATACTCATGGTAAAAGGCTAAAATAGATACTATAGAGCAACAAAAAATGGCAATACAGTTTCAGGAATGAAGTCCACTTAGGAACTGACCTTATACTCTTACAATTTTCAATTTTTTATAATTGTTAAGATTAGGCTAGCCAATCTCACAAAAGTACTGCTAAAATCGTTATCAGCAATCCAAAAAATATTTTAAATACTTAACACAGTGTCTCTCACAAAAAAAAATTTTGTGGACTCGTGTAATTACACTATTTAAATTAATTACTAACATTCTAAAAAACTTGTCTAAAAATTGTGTGGATTTTTAGTCTACGTTATAATAATGCAGTTTAATAATACCTTCTCAAGACATTACTCAATGATAAATTTTTTCTTCATGCTAAATGGATTTTTTTTCCATTGTATAAATTGAAGTGGATCTTTTCAAATGAGTTTGTCTCTTAAATACTTTTCAATAAAAGAAACACTTATTTAATTTATCATATCCATATCTTTGTGTTCTGTAATGTAATAAAAGTAATTGTAAAAATTTTTTCACAACTACATTAAATTAATCAAATTTTTTAAGTCGACTCCGGTGACTTTTCTTGTGAATCTTTATTTTTTTTTCATATCCACATATTAAGTAGTAAAATTAGTATAGAATAGAGGATTCATGCCTTGTCAGAGTATTTAAGACTATCTGTACATCTTGTTTGTAATATGTATGACTAAAGTTATAGAATTTTTGGATTGGCTTTAAATTACAATGACTTTTTGTTCTATTTCATGTAGTGATAAAATTCTTGGCAAGGACTACAATCTGAATAATTACCTAGCTAAAATAGATCGATATTTTTTAGAACTCAACACTAACTTAGTTAGGCTCCAAATTCCCTAAATTGAAATATAAATTGAATTCTGTAAATTGAAATAACAAATATAGTTTTAAATAAGATTAAAGTGAAAACTAAATAAGTGGGTTTCCTAACATTCATGCTATTTGGATCTATACTAGAAATTCCTTAAATTACTCTTATTCGTGTTTATTTTATAGAATCTACGTAACGTTGTCTAGCAGAAACGACACTCTGCGACTTTAAATATGCAAGACACGTACTTACATTACAAGAAAGCCAACGATGTACTGTATAACGGTGAAGCTCTTTATTGAACATCTAACCAAAGACACAAAACATATTAAATATACAAAGAATATTTTTATCGTTCGTACGAACTCACCGAAAATCAAGTATTGGTCTTTTGACCAAGCATAAAAATTTTGACAAAAAACATTATAAATTATGAGTACTTATCTGCTTTCACTTTCGACTAGTGCTATATACTACAAAACATAATGATGCACTGCAAACCTCAAGTATTTTTTCTCCAAAGAAAAAACTTAATTTTGTATTCTATAACCAGTATAATTTTGGGAGAAATTTTTTTTTTTAATGGGTATCGATATAAAAATAAAAACATTTTAGGCGATACAAAAATTATGTAATAAATTTTAAGCATCTCACAAATAAATGACTTTTGATCTTTATATGTACATGTTGGCATAAAAAAAATTTGTCAACTCCTTAAAAAACTTTCAGACCTCTTACCTATTTGATAAATTGCTTTTCCATGTCCTTCTTGAAGTCTCCATTTCATTTGAGTAACTAAATGTTCAAATCTCTGATTAGATGGATTCACAAGTTTTAATTTGTATTCAATATTTCCTTGTTCTGGTTCCGGAGGTAATCTATCTCGGCTGTCTTCAGAAGTACTGTTGTTTGAATCTGACAAATCGATATCTTCATTTTCATACTTATCCAATGATAATTTTTTGAATTTTGAATTACTATTATCCGTGTTAAACAAATCTAAAAACGATTCCATCTCTGAAAACAAATGAAAAACTCTTAAAAAAAATAATTTTTTAATTACATTAAAATACAAAGTAGCAGTTAACCGTATAATCAATTTCGGTAAGTGATGGAGAGTGAAAAATAAAGTCATGAAAAGTGTAACATCGATACACCAAAAAAAAAAAAGCATTGCACCAGGCTTTACACTTCGCAACTACTTTTCCAAATTCTATATTCCTAGTTTTAAAACAAAAATTAAAAAATAATTGAAATGAAGTGTTCATCTGATAAAAGAAATATTGATTTTTGATAATGTATCCCATGATTTTACTTTTTATTTTTATCTTGTTTTGTATTCCTATTTTGGTTAAGGACGTTCGGTAGAGATAGAACCCTGATATAAATCTTTTTGAAATTTTAACCAGACGTTCTTATTGTTGTTAAATAAAGCTGTTAAAATTTTAAGAGGTTCGTCTGTTTCGTTTCCAAGATATTGAATTTTAAAGTTCAGTCATTTTAACACGGTCGCTTATGGGGAAACTTATAAAAACTCAGTTTTAAAAAAATTGGCGTGATGAATGTCTCTAATTTTTTTATATGTCACAGATAATGTTATTAACTATATTTACTCAAAGTTTCGCGACGATCGTCTGATTAGTTTATGAATAAAAAAATTAAATAATAGTTNTTTAAAATATTATTGTTGAGATCTAAATGATGACAAAAAAACAATATGAAAGAGCAGATCGCAAAACGTCTGTCTAAGGACTCTGGGCATCAAGGACGTTCAGTAGAGATAAAAATCTGTGTTGAATCTTATTGAAATTTTCACCTGACGTTGTTATTGTTGTTACAATAAAGCTGTTGAAGTGTCAAGAGGTTTGTCTGTTTCGTTTCCGAGATATTGAATTTTAAAGTTCAGTTATTTTAACACGGTCGCTTATGGGGAAACTTATAAAAACTCGGTATTAAAAAAATTGGCGTAATAAATGTTGCTAATTTTTTTTTGTCACAGATAATGTTATTAACTATATGTACGCAAAGTTTCGCGACGATCATCTAATTAATTTATGAATAAAAAAAATTAAATAATAGTTTGCGACAAAAAAGCAACGGCAACGTCGCAAGAAGCGGAAAATTCAAAATGTTCCAGGACGTAAATCAGTAAATATTTGAATATTATGGTAGATATTTATGTATTTCTGTATAAAACATAAGCTTATATGTATATGTGTGCGAGTGTATGTACATAGGTTTCATCCGTTCCCATAACAAAACAATGTATTATAATAACACATATTTATTTTTCTTCATAAAATTTTCAATTTCTAATTTTCATACAATACAATTTCTTTACACAACATAATAAAATCACATGCTTGTTGTAATCGCAGAGACTAGAGTCTGTCTTAATTATTTAACGTATCACTTTCAATAAGACTTTCCAAGTTACACACAAATTCAAGAATTTTGTTTACATTAGCTTCTCTTTTAAAAAAAAACCATGTTCATTTAATAAAAACGATCGTAAACTAGCGTCACCCTCTATATCAACAATTACGTTAAAATCTACTCTACGAATGAGAGCTACGAATATAATTGTATGTACATGTATCTATTACAAATCTTATTAATTATTTACTCATTTTTATGACATTGTTATAACGAATAAAAATCAAATACTTATATCTTTAGCACAAATACATTACAAGTATACGCATGCGCTGCCGTAACTGACGCAGCAGACAGTGCAGACACTACTGAGTGCACACCACCTAATGTGTGTTTATATGTGTGTACATGAACACGCACACGTTGGAGACCCATGCGGCGATGCCAAGTCTTCACTTATCGCTACTTCCCCCTTGCCCCGCAAGTGGTCCCGCCCTCCGCTATCACTACCGAACTTCCTTAATTCAACCTACTGATAATCGTAGTAACCAAATTTTGTTTTAGAAATTTCATTACAAATACCAATGTTAATCAAAATAAAACTATAACATGACTATAAACATGAAATATACGTTATAAGGGAGTGAAAAAATTTGATTTCTGTCCTAAATTTTAATTGGAAGATATCTCATGTGTTTTTTGATTATAGTTAAGATTAGAAATTTTAACATTTTCATAGATAAACCTTAAAACAACATTAAAAGAAAAACTTTTCACACAAATTATTAAACCCAAATTCACACCAATATTATAAAGTGAATATTCTGATAAAACATGTCTTGTTCTGTCTCATTTGAACTCTCGTGCGACTCTTTTCTTTTCCACTCCTAATTCTAATCCGTATATGAGTGCAATTTTGCCAACTATTCACCACTATTTTTTTCTCCAAGTCGATGTTTAGGATGTATCTAACCAACAAAATGAGCCAACGTACTATGTTCATTTGTACCCGTAAAAACAGTGAATTATTTACAGTTAATAAGATACTACTAACAGATTTTTATATTTTTTTATCATTGAATATTAAATAACTATTGCTGATTGCACAAAATTGCACAAAATAACTATAAATAAATCATGAACTCTCTATTAAAACAATTATTATCTAACTTATTCATAGATAATAGAAAACCTTCTTATTTTTGCCGATTTTCCTTAATTAGGACGTCATAAAGATTAATAATTTTTAAATGAATTTTTTTTTTTTTTTTTTAG